GATTTCACATCATCATTCTCTACAATGATATGACATTCATTTCTATGGATTAGGTAGTTGTTATTGAACTGCAGTACAGGCCAGGTACAAGATTGGGATAACCTCCCTATCCTTGCAGAACGTGATCAGTTTACTTAATGCATTCCACAGCAGTACACTGCTATAAGATAATGATGTATTTTCAGCCATGAAAGTTATTCCTTTAAAAAAAATTCATTTTCATAACCAATTTTTTTTGCAAAGATTTAATGCACTTTTACCTCACCTGTAAAATGTTGCCATTAACTTATACCACATGCAGGAAACTTTGAATTTGCATCTGTCTTCCTTGTCAATTTTATTCTCAGTGAAGCATCAAGCCCTTCATTATGACTTTTCCTCCCAATTCCAAGAAAAAAAGATAACTGGTAATAGTCAAGTGATACTTGATTGTTTTGAAGTAAGTGAGCATTGCTGTCTTTCATCTGCTGTTGAAGATAGATTACCATTTCTGTTAAACAGTTCCTTGTAAACCTTGCATTGGCAATTATATCAGCAGCTCAAAAGACAGGAGATGAAAGGTTATTCTTGCCTTGATTAAAGTGACAGCTCAGTGCTCTAATGCTAACTACAGACCAAATACATCAATTCATTCAAGGGAAGTATTTTGTTTGCATTGCACATTTTCTTTTATTATTCTGCTAAATTGTTAAACTAAGAAATACTTCCCTGTAGCAATTATTAGGATAGAAGTTCTGTAAGCGTGTTGCAATTAAGTTTACAACACAGAGTAGCCAGAGGGTGCCAATACAGAATTACTGGCAAGGAGATTAATGTAAGAAAATGTGTAAACAGGAGGAGCTAGATGGTGCTGATCACAAAAGTCAGATATTGATTTAAACTACTGTATTTATTTTGCTTTCGACCACAGTTGTGATTTAATGATGAAAGAAAATCTCTATTGATTGGTCTGAAAAGAGCTCTTTTCTCATGACCCATTTACTGACATTAGGTTAATTTATTACATTGAAAATCTAACCCCTAATGAATTCTTAGTGTTCCAGTATCTTTTAGCGTATAATTACTTTCCACAATACAATATACATTCATATGTACTTTCACATCAGAAGAATGCCTCAAAGCACTTGATATATATATATGTATATAAATATATTATATGATGTTTCAGCCAAAACAATGAAAAAGCATGTTGATGCCATTTTCCACATAATTTAAAAATCTTAGGTGAAAGCATCCTGCACCCTTATAAGGAACCATTAAAACATATTTGATTAATCTTAATACATAATCTAGTGATCAGAGTTCATTCTAATGCTAAGGTAATTTTCACAGATAACAGTGTGTGCTTGACATTCTTTCCTGCCATAGTACAAACTTCAGGAAGCAGAGCATTGATCCATCCACTCTTCCCATGTACATTATTGTAGTTTGTTAGGGCAAGCACAGACGATGAGGTATATTAGAAAGGAATGGATTGAGGTCTTTGTCATGGATCAGCATGCTCAAAGAGTGCATTTTAATTGCAATATTTTTCTTTCCTTTCATTTAAGGTGATTTAAATAGACCAGTCGTTTTTTTTTTAAAAGTACACAGCCATAAGCCAGTTAGAATCAACTCACAGCATTTAATTCTCACAAAGTCATCTTTTACAGACATTGTGTCAGTTTTACATCAGAGAAATACATGAAAATCTCCCAAAAGCTGTAATTATGGCAGAGAACAAAGGGAATGATCTTGTACAGAATTAGTGAGATAACAATTGGATTGTGCTATCTGCTGCATTATAATGCAATAGGAAGATTGCTATTTAAATTGTTATCTTGAACACAGTGTCCAGGATTACTATGATTATGTTATAGTGAAAATAATGACTTTTTTAGGTACGAGGCAACGATTCATCTTTACTAAAAGATCTGTGTCAGAGTAGCTTTAATGCTTTGTAACATTTGAGAAAAAAATCTTTTGCAACAAAACTAACATTTTGTTTTATTTGCGCTTGTTGATAACCATGGCTTTGCAGTTACTAACCAGTGTAATGACCTTACTTTAAATTTGCAATCCTGCTATGAGATCTCCAGAGTAAAGTAATGTAGCCTCTGGTCCCTTTTGCATTTACTTATAATTATATGGTTAATTAAAAAGTGTCACATGGAGAATGAGAAAGCAGATCATTACTGCATTTGTTCTGACACAATCTGCTGCTTGCTGTTTCGAAAATAAGAATCAAGATTCCAAATAACAGTCCATTTAATCTTTGAGTGCATCTTTTTCTTTTCTTCACCAATTTTCTTCTCTTTGCTCGTCACCTGAGGGAGTTGACTCCTATTTCTTTCTACTGGAGTATAGTTTCAGAGGTACCAGTTCTTATCAGTGTTTCACCCCAGTGGCCATTCTTCACATGGGAGTGAGAGTTGGCTACAAAGGATCTTGTAGCAGGGCTCAGTTTTGTCCTCTCTCATACCATGTACATATATGCGCACATTCAGTAAAGGGTGGAAGACTCCAATTGTAGCACCCATCAGCTGCCCCATCTGAGATCAGTTAACTCCGTATATGTGGCGATTTGAATCCAAACCTTCATATGGCTCAGGCACTCAACAACAACAATTTACATTTATACAGTGCCCGTCACTCCGAGCAGCGTATCCGAGTGCTGAGCGTTGGCAGAATTTTACGCCAAGCTAGGGAGAGAAGTGAGGCGACCATAGGCATGGTGGTGAGTCTGGTGTGTCAATGATAGCTGAGCTATTGGAGGGAAGCTACAAATTAATTTTTGGTGATAAATGGAGAAATAATTTGATGACTTTAAACGTCACATTAAAAATAAGGATAAAATGCATATTTGATAGCCTTAACTACAATGTGTCCATTTGTTCGCTGCTGTGCTACATTTATGGCCAACATAAAGTGTTTTTGGGTGATTTAAAAGGCAACACAAGTTCTCAACTATGGTTTTCCTTTCAGTTAGAATAAGAACATAATAATTCTTTACAAACTGAAAAGTGCTTTGATGGCTAACGCATCTCATTTATCTTTTAGTTAAACCTGCCTTGTTGCAAGTTGTTTAAGTCTGTCAAATACATATTGAAAAAACCTTCATTTTTATGCAACCAGCAGCATCCAAAATTATACAGTAAATTAGGATGGCAAAAAAAAGGGTCTAATTGGCGTTTGAAAAATATGATAAAATCCTGCAATATGCCCTTTAGTGATCTTCAGAGTGGTTGTTGCTTTATGTCAGGACAGCAAAAGTGAAGAATTACAGGTCTGCAAAACTTGCAATTTTAAATAATATCTAAAGTACATGGCAACTGCACAAACTCCCATTCTGATTGTAGTAAAGACTCAAAAGAAAGTATCCAGCAATACTTTATACCCCATGCCATTGGACTAAATGGATTTATAATGCACAAGTGATACAGGCTTTTTTTTTGAAAATTCACACTTTAGATTCAGGAAAGCGGAAATAAGATTACAAATCACTTTATAGGTGTAGTGGGCTGTCACACTGAGCAGCATATTGTAGTAGGACAGAGGTTTGTGCTTGAAATTTCTCTCATGGTGTATATTTAAACTTTGTGGAGTTCTTGAGGATTGTGGGAGCCAGTAAGTAGACATTCCCTTTTCAAAGGAAG